TAAATTTTAAGTTTGCAAAGAGATATGCCTATTTTAGTGAAGGTTGCTCATTTCTATCTTAATCAGATTGATGCCTAAATTTAAACGGCTATATCTCCCTCATCCGGACTTGATTTTAAGAGATTCTTATTCTAAATTGAAGCCCCTAAAGTCCACTTTCCCATGGTGGTAGCCTCACAACTAAAGTCTAAGTGTACAAAAAGATATGCCTATTTGAGTGAAGACAACTCAGTTCTCTCTTAACAGTTTCATGCTCAACCATTTTCCCAACTAGTTTTCTTACATCTCCTCCTATTTCCTTCAACTCCAAACCTCTAAATATGATGTTTTAAAAATCTTTCAAAGATTTCACCTCTCTTGCATTTATTTCCACTTTGTCCTTACTCTATTTACCGAAAAGTGTTATATTTTAAATGAAATGCGAGCCTCGGAACATCGTAGAAACATTTAAAAGAATATTTTGAAAAAGAGGGTTTTAAGTTCTAAAATAGTTTTGGCCTAAAATAGTTTTGGTAAAAAATGGGGTGTAAGGTTAGGATTAGAAGCTCTTCTTGTTGAAGAAATTGAACATTTGTATAGTGTACCTTTCATCATCGAGTGATCAACCTGAGGCGCCCAAGTCATAAGGGCGGTCAAAAATGGGTTGTCTACAGTTGCCCTATTTGACAGAGCTCGAAGTCATGAAATGACGTGAATGAATGTCAAACCTCGAAGACGACCCGTTTTGGCAAGGCCGTAAGACTTGGGAAAACAAACAAAATACAGATATAGTTGGTTGAACCCGAGGGTCGCCTACATATCCCTTTGCATGGAATCAAACCAGTGTAGTTCAGGGGCAGGATGCAAAATGTTACACAATGCAACAAAACAATGTAATGATATACAATGTAATGAAATAATCAAATCATAAGTAGTGCAAAACCACACAAATACCATAAAGAGATGGAGATGCAAAATCAAACTACGTTTATATAGAAAAGAAGTGGGCACAGCCAAATGACGCCTAACACAGCTAAGTGCCTACATCCTCAATACTGGCCTCAGCGCAGCATGGATGCTTACAGATAACAGAACCATGTTTCAACTTGAAAGGGGTGCGAGCACATGCATAACTATGTTTTTTGTAGAAAGCGAAAGAGTACAAGTAATTGGGTGGGATGATATAAGTGTGGAATTATCTGCTGGGGAAAGATAATGATCCTAAATCTTAAATGCAACAAAACAAAGTACAATGCAATAGATGAAGTGAATAAGGCGCATGCTGAACCACATTTTACCTAGAAAAGGCACGGGCACAAAACAAACCACGTATAACACAAAAATGGTGTTGACACCCTCAATATTGGCCTTAGCGCAGCATGGGTGCTTACACATGACAGAACCATGTTTCAACAAAGGAAAGGTATGAGCACATGCCAGACTAAGCTCAACATGGAAATGATGAAGACGATAAAATGGATAATGCAGTAGATGCATGCAATAAATTCTATATGTAATGCGATGTAGTAGCTAGGAAATGAAAGTACCTTATAGGGGCAATCAGTAATGACTCATCTTATGCTGCTAGGGATGTTTCGCTTCTTCTTGGTTGTGCTTCCAAACCATAGATACTACTTTTCTTTCATTCTATGTTTGCAACTTTCCCTATTCTCTAACAGGGTGACAGACTAAGTTGATTCAGTATCCAAAATTCAAGTGCATACACACTACCTCAACCTATGGGGCTGCCATATAGATTTCAAGCCGGGGATACACCTCTATGTATTTAAACCAAACTTTAGTCTCGGAAATCTTGAACCTTTGCGTTCTAGGCCTCATCCATTCGAACTCTAGTTTCCATCGTATCAGTTGATCTCCTAGGAACTCACTGCAAACATAGTTAGATGGCTATACCAGACCGCCTGAAGCCGTTCGGGCACGACAAACACCAAAGGAATTACACCTTTAGAGGATTTAAGGTCTCCTAGACCCTATGAGTGTACAAGACAGTGCAGGTGAGGTGCACAAGACAGTGCCATGTAGGGTGAATGCATAAAACAATGCTAGTGAGATGTACAAAATAGTGTGATATAAGATGAATGCACAAAATAATTCTATATGGGTGCACAAAACAGTGCAATAGGGGAAATGCACAAAATAGTGCCATACAGGGTGAATGCACAAAATAGTGCTATGCAAGGTAGAATGTACAAAATAGTGCGATATGAAGTGCACAAAACAGTGCGATACAGGTGCACAAGACAGTGCTATTCAAGGTGCACGAGACAGTGCGAGTAAGGGTGCACAAGACAGTGCGATACAAGGTGAATGCATAAAACAGTGAGATACGAGGTGCACAAAACAGTGCAATAAAAGGTGCACAAGACAGTGCGCGCAAGGGTGCACAAGACAGTGTGATACAAGGTGAATGCACAAAACAGTACATGCAAGGTGCACAAAATAGTGCGATACAAAGTGAATGCACAAAATAGTGCAATGCAAGGTGCACAAAATAGTGCGATACAAAGTGAATGCACAAAATAGTATGATATGGGGTGTAGCAAACAGTGCGAACTCAAAGTGCATAAAACAGTGTGATGCAAAGTGCACAAAACAGTGCGAAAAAAGTGAATGCATGAAACAATGCGATGCAAGCTGCAATATAAGATCAATGCACAAAACAATGCTATATGGGTGCATAAAACAGTGTAATATAGGGTAGAATGCACATAACAGTGCAATGCAGGTGCACAAAATAGTGCGATACATGATGAATACGTATGGCATGCAGAGGTAAATGAGCAGTACATAGAGTAGTGCATCATGTACCTTATGAAATGAGTGTAGGGAAACTTGCCACAACTCATTGAAATGTAACACAAAGGGAGGCAACTCGACAAAACTCTATTAAATGTAGAACAAAGTCAAGAGCAAGAGTAACCAATCATGTAGTTCAACTCAACTAGAGTGTATAAGCATGCAGGCATAATCCAAAGAACATGTATTAATCAGAGGGAAGATGGCAATCGCAAAAGAGTCTTGAAATGGTTGAAGACAACTTTCGAAAGTTGAACCATATCAGACTCATCATGGGGGTGAGCTACCCTAATCTAGGGGAAAGTGCCCAACAAAAAGGCTTTGAGCAGACTAAGGGAAGGGTTGGGTTCATGCCCCTTGTTCAGATGATGACCTGATCAGATGTACTGAAAATTGCCCCTAGTGTCCAGTCACTGGCCACTGTTTTCACCATTATGCAGACACATGTAATGGGGATCATCAAATCCTGGAAAAGTTTCCAACCAATCAGACTCATGCTTCTCTTCTGACATATTGAGAACTTACTCTAGTCCCCTCCGAAGTAGTGATAGATTCCTCATATACATTTTGCAATGATCATGAACGCAATGCCCCTTATATGGGCACTCTCAGCTCGTTTATGAATTCCATACATGGACTTGTTTTGGAGTTTGGAGTGAACATTTGTGTATGGAATTTTGGCGATGTCACTTTGTTGAAATTTGAGTGACAGACACGCTATGGTGACTCGATGAAGAGAGCTTTTGAGCGACAGACACGCTATGGTGACTCGATGAATAGCACAGACTGAAAACAACCACTAGACACGACATAACAGAACTCACAATTGACCCCAAAGCAAAAAAAGACTCAAGGTAACTGATCATTCATAGTGCCTCTAGTATTACTTATGTTCCCTTTAAAACTCAATTTCGATTCTTGTTTTTTTGCTCAAGATAGAGATTCTACTGATAAGTTCAAGTTTTGAAAATGTCCCTACTTATTGATTCAAGTTAGTTCTTTCTTACCTAGTGCAACTATATGATATGCACAACAGTTGGTGTAGCTCATGGATCGATGCAAAGCTGACGATGTGAATTGGGCAATGTGATTAGGTTGAGATGGATGAGATAGATATGGTTGAGACTGAACTTCAAGATGAAGTTGCCTACGTATCCCAAGAATGGGAATCAGGTCAACGTAATTCATGGTTGAGGTTCACTCAGGTGTTGACCCTCTCCTTTTGCGCTCTAACTTTTGCCAAACTCCCCCATTAGGGTTTTCAACCTTGCGAGCTCTATTTATTTGATTTCTCATTTTTTCATGCTCTAACTTTTGCCTAGGTCGCCCTTTCAGGTTTTTGGCCTAGCGAGCCTCTCAAGGATAGCGTTACAGCACTTGCGGTGAATTTGATCAATAGCCATCCTTGCCCTAACACTGGAACTGGCTTCGCCTTGATTTGAGTTTGGTTCTCCATTCCTTTATGCATGTCTTTGTTCTTTCTTTCACTCCATTTGTAAAGTTCGCTCTTTTTGCACTGTGGTACCTCCTCGTATTGGCTTCCCCAAATTCAGAAGAAAGTTCCTTTCCTCATGGTTGATTGAATTTCATTCTAATGGATACCCCTGGCTTAATGGATGACTCCTGTTTCTTTTTTTTCTTTTTTTTTTTTCTAGTTTGGTTCTTCTTATTTTTTTTTCTTTTTCTTTTTCTTTTATCCTTTTCTTTTTGAAATAATGAAAACACTAGGGGAGAAATTCTGTGATTTGTGAGGTCTAGCTTATACTTGCAGGTCTGAAAGCCGCCTTGTGCTTGCCAACATGATCACCTAACAGCGAAGAGAATCCCCAGGACAATGTAGAATACCACACACAATTCTGAACCTATCTTTGTAAGTTTTGCAAAAGAAACAATTTAAAATTCTTGAAACATGAAGGACTTTGCACCGATAAGTCAAAACTCATTCAAACCATTCACGGGATCCTTTTCAACACTTGAGCTTATTAACAAAATCTCATTCAAAAAACAAATTCAAAAACAACTTCAAAGCCTTTTTCTATTAGTAAAAGGTCACACATGCATCATTATAGGCACAATAAAATGATTAGAAACTTGACTCCCACTTTCTTATAAAGATGAAGACTTGAGGGTACACGAGAGTGACTCAAAGGAAAAGACTCAATTGACACAACAACGCAAGAAAAGACAAAGAAAATAAAACTCACAGCAACTATTTGTAGGACACAACTCAAAACAAAATAAGCATTTCTGAGACAAAAAGGGTTTTCCTTCTCCAAGTCCATCTGCAGAATTTCAAAAACAACTTCAAGTAGCTCATGGGAAGGTTCAGACTTGCTTTCAATTCAGCAATACTAACATCCACACCCAGCAGGATTGGTGTCATACTTTTAAACTGAGTCTCACAGACTAAGCTTCACAATTACGTTGTCTCCACACATCTTCTTGACCGAAACAATTACTTTTTCACACCATGCCCCTGGTTCAGAAGGTCCTTTCCAAATGCTTTTGACAAATTCCCCTAGCTGAGATTGAGGTTCATCATTCCAACCGTCAGTGCTGGCATCTCTAAAGAGCCCACTTCTTCATCAAGCTTGAACTCATCAAGATTGAGTAAACTTTCCATCTCTTCAAAGATTTTGTTCTTTTTGCTCAGATCAGAATTAGAAGATTCTAGAAAGAACATAATGGGTTTGGGCTCATTGGCAGGTGTGTTGTGTTGGCTAGGGTAATGGTTGGTTGTTGGCAAACTGTGGATGGGTTTTATGTTATGGAGTGGAAATCTATTATGGTTAGGGAGAGGGTTATCGACATCTTTGGGATTTTCAGGTGCGGTGATGACCTTATTGTCAATCAAGTCTTGAATTTCGTGGCAAAGGCGAAAGCAACGGTCAATATGGTGACCGTAGTGCTGATGGAATGTGCAATATTGGGTAGAGTCGTGTTTAGGTGTGAGAGGATTAGGGAGAGGTTAAGGATTGAGCGGTTTGAAATACCCTTTCTCTATCAGTACCTTCAATGCACAGGTTAGGCTCATATGGAGCTGGGCAAAGGTTTATTTTTGAGAGGAGGAAACATTAGTTTTGGAAATATTGGCAAATGGGTTGGCGGGTGTTGACTGGGTATTCATGGGCTTGGGACTGGAATCAGGATGGGTGTTTTTGGTAAAGCATCCCTTTCCATTGTTTGCCCCCTAATTCATAATGCTCTCAACCTGAGCGATAAAAGTGTCATCCATAGCCTTTGCAACAACTTCAAGCACTTGCTGCTTGTTCAACCTTTGACCTTCAAAGTCTCAATAGCCCACCGAAGTTATGCATAGGGATCAATACTTGTCTCGGCTTTGTTCTTGCCACGTGCTTCTGCTTGGCCAAACGATTGGGTGGCTATATCGATGTGAGGCCCATTTGTTATTGATCTATCATCACTTAGACTAGAGATAGCTTCTGGTTAGCCCTTTTCAACTGCAGCTCACCCTAGGATTGGGGAGCTTTTTGACAGGATCAAAACTCGAAATGTTAAATCTGTCACCATTTCTTGATGGTTTTAAATCATTCCCAACATCTCAGTAGTAGTGGGTTCGGCCATTTGGTGCTTTTGTCGTACCCAAACCGAATTGGGTGCATTCATCATGCACAAATTAGTGCTTTTTGGAATGAACACCTTAGGCTTGGGTAAATGGGCTGGGGTGATGTATATGATGGGGTTGAAGGGAGGTAGTACTATATGGATGAGGTTAAGGTGAGGATAAGATACTTGGTCATAGATGAGAAGTAGGTTGGTGGTAACATTGGGCTCTTGAGGTGGAGCTATTGTCTAGTTGTTGATGAGATTCTAAACCACATGACGAAGGCAGTAGCAACGATCAATGCCATGACCGCACTACTGATGGTATGCACAGTATTTGTTGGGGTTATGTCTAGCAGGGACCGGCTCAGGAAGATGTTGGGGATCAAGGGGTTTGAGATACCCTTTTTTCATCAGGGCTTTTAGTGCGCTAGTTAAGCTCATATGGAGAGGGTAAAAGTTCTGCCTTGAGCTCGGGTTGGGCCAGCTGTTTGTGGGTTTGTATTGGCAAAAGGGCCGGTAGTTTTGGGATTGGTGGTGACAATATTGATTTCAGTGGGTTCAGGAATAGTGCTACTGCTAGCATTGGTACTCCCGGAAAACACCCTCCTTGTTGGTTCGCCTGTTCTAGGAGTAGTCCCCTTGTTAAACGCACTCTCAATCTGCACCTCTAATTCACGCAAAATTTTGAAAGTGAGCAGTGGAGTGACTATTAACTTTTGTAGCATATCCGGCTCAAGGTTCTGCACCACTATCCGCACTTGGTCCCTCTCAAAAGGTCGATCTGTCATTTGTGTGGCCTTTGCTTTCCACCTTGCAACAAATTCCACTAAAGGTTCTGTAGAATTCTAGTGGGTTGCTTCAAGCTCTTGGATGGTCATTTCAATTTGGGCATTGTAAGAATATTGATTGACAAATGCCTCATCCAAATCTTCCCAGTTCTGCTTCATTGTATCCTCCAACTTCGTGTACCAAGTGGCTACTATACCCGATAGGGTTCTTCCATACAGAGAGAGTTTCTAAGGCTTAGTCAGACCCATTGGTTTCAGGACGTCCAAGAAAGCCAGATATGCACCATAGGATCTCCAAACTCGTTGAAACGATCAATGTGTGGCATTTTGAATCTATCTGGGAGCCTTACAGCAACCTCGGTGTACCCATCCTCAATGTCGGCAATAGAGTTAAGTTTCTGTGTCTTTTTAAATTACTTCTCAAGGTTAGCAATTTCAAACAAGGTTGGGTCGAGCTCATTAATCTCAAGGGGATAAAGCCCCTCATTAGGCTGCACCAGGGGTTTGAAAACTCGAGCTTGAGGTAATCCTTCTTGAGGATCTGAACCTTACAAATCTTCAGTTAGCGGAGGTGGATCAAAGCTCAGTTGGGGGCCTGGGATTAGATGTGTAGTAGATGCCCTGGATGGGCATTGCATTTCAGCATTGGTTTCATCCTGTATGGCAATTCCCGAGTTTAGGGCTGCTATCATGGCTACAACTTCTTCTAGACTCTATGTCATCACGAGTCTGCTGAATTTGCAATCGGGAAAATGGATGGATGTAAGTTGAGAGCTGACTAACAAGGATTTCGAGCTGGTTATAATTGATGTGTCTGAGCTGGATTAGTCTAGACAGGTTTGACTGGATTAGGCTTTTTTTAGAATGGGTCTTTCAGTAGTGGATGAATCTTTTCTGAGTTGGCCTTTTGCGGATCAGATGGACTGGGCTTTTGCTGAGTGGGTTTTTTCTGGGATTGGACGAATGGTGATGGGTTAAGGCTTTTTGGATCGGATTGGTCTTGGCCCTTGCTGAGTTGGGTACTACTCATTCTTTGGCTCAAACAAACCTAGCGTTAAAAACAAAATGTCCCATCAGATCAGGATACCGAGTATGCCAGTCAAAGCAAAGAAAGATACAATTTTTGGCCTTGGTTCTGGTCTTGCTGAAAATTCACCCATATCAAACACATACCCCTGGATTTCAACCCAAATTTTGATTCTGATATGACCCTCAAGTTTTGAAAGGAATCGCCTCAAGATTAAGACTCTTCCAAGATTGCATCACACATTGCCAAAGATTTCACATTTTGCACAAAAGCATTCAAAACACCCCTATGAGAGGTTAGGGTTTCCCTGTCCTAGCTTTGGCATGAACTAGGGTTCCACTACTTCAAGCAAGTAGTTTCACAAAATCCTACATTCGGGTGAGCGTCCTATCCTAGGTTGGAATGGTCACTATGGCTTTACTATATGCAACTGGGCCAAATGGTCAAAGTGGGTACCTCAGCAAGACTACCTAATATACCTCTCACACCTAACATCGAGAAGTGAAAGGAGGATCAAATGGTATAGCGGTAGTCCAAATCCAAAGGTTGTGTTCCCAACATGGCAGAGCCCACGACCAGTCAGCCTTTTGGCAAACTTTTGGGCAAGCCTCCAGCAAACAGTCCAGGAATAGCAAATGAAAAACATAGCGACTTAAGCGCACCAATGCAAATGCTATGCAAAGAACATATAAGTGTAAATAAAATTTCACATCATGAAGTTCAAGTCAAGTTCTCTAAATTCCCCAGTGGAGTCGCTAGAAACTGTAGCTTGCTTTTCGTGCTCCTTTCGGATATGACTAGCCCTACAGTACGGACTCCAGTGGTTTTGAATCTGATCTCACAAGTGCAATGTGAAATAGATAAACACAAAAGAGTTCAAATCCGACAAATCTTTTGAAAAATCAATTTTGAATCAAAATGCCAAAAATGGACTGCTTTGCCAGTTCAGAGTCACCACCTAAATATTTTTAAAAAATTTAGGAAACTTGAGACTTGTGCCAGAGGCCACTTATCCGTCATCACCAAAGTTGTCTCAGCTCGGGAACTAGGTACGAGAGGGGAAGGTCATAAATTGAGCACCCCACTCGCCCGATCAAAGATCGACCTCTACTAATCATGATGTGATTCTTATTTACATTATATGCTCTTGTTCTGGTTTATTAGGCTAACATTACTATGTGTTGCACATAAGTATAGAATAATTAGCAAAAATTGGAACACTTTGATTTCATGTTTGTTTTGAAAAATGTTTTGACTACGCACCACTTGAAAAAAGTGAGTTTGTATGTACATTAATCAATGTATTCCAATTCAAGCAATTAGCCTTCATTCACAGGCATTCAAACAGATATAGCACTTAAGTAGTTAGCCTCATGGAAAACATACTAGACATGGCAACAATCACACTCATGCAATATGCTAAAGCAATAAAGCTTACCCCAATTCCCAAGGTGAGCCAAAAAAGAGAAAATAGTTAGAAAAATGCATGATCCTAACTAATGCAATATGCCTAATGCAGCACATGCAGTATGCAATTAATAGGCTTGGTTACTAGTACGGCATGTGAATCAATTTGAAAGCATGCGGTTTAAACATGTATTCAACGAAGTAATAAACGACAATGCTTTGTTAGAATGATGAACCAAGCCTCGATGCATGCAAGGCAAGTGAATGCAAACATCGGAAATGCTAAAAGAAACATGATGTTCTAAACTACCCATTATAAGCAAGTAAATAAAAGGGAGAAAGATGTGAGGTTAGAAGACGTACACATTATTACATGTTTGCCCTCGCCCAGGAGGGTCTGAATAGATGCCCTATCTAAGATACTTTAACTAATTAGTATAACCCAAATGAAATGAATTAACTATAATAGCTAATTATTACAACATCAACACTTAACTAACTACTTTAGCTAATTAAATAAGTATAACATAAAACTAAGTAGCTATTCTAACTAATTTAACTAATTAGTTACAAGTCTGCTACTTTAAGTACAACATACTAATATTACAAGATCATTTTAACAGATCCCAAGGTTCAAGGGATGGCTCATGCATGGCTCATGCATGGATGTGGATTTCCACCCGATAATGCTCTCCGTTTTGCTACCAGAATGCCTTTGTTGCATAGTTAGAAAATTGCACTATTTTTCTACCTCAGCCTCTGCTCTGCTCTGCTCTGCTGGAAAAGGGACACTACCTGGCTGGAAGAAGTGGCCGACAACCCAAAAGTCGAGGCTGAATGGCCACAAATAGTGGCCTGCCGGCCACTAATGTTGGTTCTTTCCTGTTGCAACAG